ATGTTGCTGGAGGAGACAGATGGACTCCAGGTTAGGCATTTACATCTAGCCTGTTTACATTTCTTGAGGCAAGAGATGGTTGGGCTCCAGTTGAGCCTTTACAGTCAGTGTCCTGCTTGCCCTGTGAAATGGAAGTAACAACAGAAAGAGGGTAAATAGCCAGTGTCTGTCTCTTATGAACACTTTAGTAGCCATGACAAGGGCAAAGAGGGACAAAACCCTGCTTGAGTCAAGGATGAAGAGATCTCCCCTCCCCCCACCCCCCTTGTGGGAGAAGGGAAACACAACACATGTGCAGAGAGGCTCCTTGTGGGTGAAAAGTCCCGCGAAAATGCCAGACCATGATGAGCCTTGCTTCTCCCAGAAGCCTCCACTTGGAGATCCATCTTGGCTGAGGGGTATGTGCACACCAGGGCAGAGGCCCAGGATAGGTCAGATGTGAAGAAAGGAACCAGAAACTTGGCAGGAAGGAAGACAAAGACCCAGAAGAACTGGCCTATATAAAGGACTTCACCACCTCGTGGTTATTGTGCTCCTTCTCACCAGGGGGCGCCCATAACCTTTCTCTCCAGGTGTGTGTCTCTGCTTGGCTTCTGTCGGAACTAGACCAGCTGTTCCTCCGTGTTCTTTCCCACGTGTTGCTGTGCTGTGTCTCTGATAATAAACGTCGTACCTGCATGTAGCGATTCTGCCTCCATGATGAATGCATTTTTCACTGGTCAAAGATCCAGGGAAACTTGGCTTCTAGCCTCTAGCCCTTGCTGGTCTGGTGGCTAGGATTCCTGGTTTTCGTTCAGGCTACCCAGGTTCAGTTCCTGGGCAGCGAATTAGATCTCACTTCACGCCACCACTCACTGCTGCCTCACTGAGATCAACTCAATTTTTATCACCATTTAATCTACATCATATGAATTTTTGCAACTTTTCGTAAAAGGACTTCTTAGGTATTAACATACTGATATTTCCATAAGGGGGAAGTACTTCTTCCCTAAAACTGCATTGAGAAGATTTGCACTTAAGAAAGTGTGTTTTACTGTAGCAGAATTATTATTTTGTCTTTACACTCTAGCATTTGTTAAATCCTTAACTGCCAAGAACTGTTCAGGCTTCCCTGGTGGCTCAGCTGGTGAGGAATCCACCTGCAGTGCAGGAGACCTGGGTTCGATCCCTGGGTTGCAAAGACCCCCTGGAGAAGGGAAACGGCTACCCACTCTAGTATTCTGGCCTGGGGAATTCCATGGACTGTACAGTCCATGCGTTTGCAGAGTCAGACATGACAGAGCGACTTTCACTGTTCACCAGCAACGGTTCGGCCTGAGATAAGAACTTCCAAAAATCTTTGAACACAGACGCTCTAACTTATTTTCCCTCTGGGATAAATATTTTGCATTTACTTTTAGGTCATATAGACACAATAGGCAGAGAACTCTCTTATTATGTATTTTATTTGCATGTAAATTAGCATCCTAGAAACTTTAAAATAGAAACACTAAATACAGTATTGCACAGAACAATCTCTGTTAAATGCCCCATTATCTCACTGAAGTTCCTATACGCATGCAGGGACTGAAGGAGACAGGAAGATGGCAGAAGAGCAACCCGAGAGCCACTACTGTGTCTGGGCACATCAACTACAGACTGCAAGGTAAGGACAGTATTTTATAGGAATAGAAACATAGTTACAATTCAGATTTCCTTTTTAAGTTGCCTCCTTAATTGGTTTGCAGTAGCAACAGATTCTCCCCTTTTTTCATAGCCATTCCCCAACACATATCATTTTTAAAAATCTATTAATGTTAGACAAAGCCATCACAGTGCTTCAGGAGTGACTTCAAGAAAACTCCAATCAAGTCACAGTACTCAGGCAGGTGGGTTTAATAGACAAGTCCTAGGTAGATATCAATCCATCTGAAAGTGGGCAGTAATGTTTGAACACATCTAGGATTTCCTTTTAAACACATGCTCCAAGGACAACAGTACTGAATTGACCAGAGGAACAGTAAAAAGAGGACATCACTGGAAGGGAGTTTACACTGCCAGTCTGGCCCTGCGGTCTGGCGCTGGGGTAGCATCTGCTCGCTTGGCCCCTGTGTCCCTCAGGGAGGTCACGGGCTCAAGAGTGCAGAACAAGTATCATCACTAGGACTGCCCAGAGCTGCTGCGAACATCCAAAAAGTTTCACTTTAAGAGTTCTTTAGAGGGCTTCCCTGGCGATCCAGTGGCTGCTCCCAATGCAGGGGCCTGGGTTCAATCTCTGGTCAGTGAACTAGATCCCATTCACTGCAAGGAAGAGTTTGCACGCCACAATGAAAGATCCCATGTGTGGCAACCAAGACCTGGTGCAGCTTACAAAAGAGAAAAAAGGCACAAAATGTTCTTTAGAAAGTGCTATAAAATGCTATGAATGATTGCTTCTGCTAAGCAAACGGTAAGAAAATATGTGTATTAGTTGCTCAGCGGTGTCCGACTCTTTGTGACTCCATGGACTGTGGCCTTCCCAGTTCCTCTGTCCGTGGAATTCTCTAGGCAAGAATACTGGAAGAGGTGGCCATTCCCTTCTCCAGGCGATCTTCTCAACCCAGGCATGAAACCCAGGTCTCCTGCATTGCAGACAGATTCTTTACCACCTGAGCCACCAGGGAAGCCCAGGAAATACGTCGACCGGAATCCTCTTAATCAAGACAGGGGCCATTAGAGAGAAAATAACCTACTCGGTTAATTTAGTTTTATTATTGCCATTCTCCTTGGGAATTAAAAATAGGGTACTTCTGGAGAAACTGACAAAGCTGTGATTTATCTTAATAAAAGACTTCTTATGGAGATCTTGAAACCTGTTTCCGGAAAGAAATGAGTTCTAAATATATTTCTTAAGCCTGGTGGCAAAGTTTCTAATGACAGAATTCATCTCCCATGCAGCTCAATGAATCCCTGTTGTTTTTTTTTTTCATTTATTTTTATTAGTTGGAGGCTAATGACTTTACAAATTTTTTTGTCATACATTGACATGAATTAGCCATGGATTTACATGTATTTCCCATCCCGATCCCCCCTCCCACCTCCGTCTCGACCCGATCCCTTTGGCTCTTCCCAGTGCACCAGGTCCGAGCACTTGTCTCCTGCATCCAACCTGGGCTGGTGATCTCTTTCACCCTAGATTATATATACATGTTTCGATGCTGTTCTCTTGAAACATCCCACCCGCGCCCTCTCCCACAGAGTCCAAAGGTCTGTTCTATACATCTGTGTGTCTTTTTCTGTTTTGCAAATAGGGTTATCGTTACCATCTTTCTCAATTCCGTGTATATGTGTTAGTATCCTGTAATGGTCTTTATCTTTCTGGCTTACTTCAGTCTGTATAACGGGCTCCAGTTTCATCCATCTCTTTAGAACTGATTCAAATGAATTCTTTTTAATGGCTGAGTAAGATTCCATGGTGTATATGTACCACAGCTGCCTTATCCATTCGTCTGCTGACGGGCATCTAGGTTACTTCCATGTCCTGCCTATTATAAACGGTGCTGCGATGAACATTGGGGTGCACGTGTCTCTTTCAGATCTGGTTTCCTCGGCGTGTATGCCCAGAAGTGGGATTGCTGGATCTTAGGGCAGTTCTTTTTCCAGTTTTTTAAGAAATCTCCACACTCTTTTCCATAGTGGCTGTACTAGTTTGCATTCCCACCAACAGGGTAAGAGGGTTCCCTTTTCTCCACACCCTCTCCAGCATTTATTGCTTGTAGACTTTTTGGATAGCAGCCATCCTGACTGGCGTGTAATGGTACCTCATTGTGGTTTTGATTCGCATTTCTCGGATAATGAGTGATGTTGAGCATCTTTTCATGTGTCCTTTAGCCATCTGTATGTCTTCCTTGGAGAAATGTCTGGTTAGCTCTTTGGCCCATTTTTTGATTGGGTCATTTATTTTCTGGAGTTGAGCTGGAGGAGTTGCTTGTATATGTTTGAGATTAATCCTTTGTGTGTTGCTTCGTTTGCTGTTATTTTCTCCCAATCTGAGGGCTGTCCTTTCACCTCGCTTATAGTTTCTTTGTCGTGCAAAAGCTCTTAAGTTTCATTAGGTCCCATTTGTTAATTTTCGCTTTTGTTTCTAATCCTCTGGGATCCTGCTCTGATTTATGTCGGAGAGTGTTTTGCCTGTGTTCTCCTCTAGGAGTTTTATGGTTTCTGGTCTTAACATTTAGATCTTTAATCCATTTTGAGTTTATTTCTGTGTATGGTGTTAGAAAGTGTTCTCGTTTCATTCTTTTCCAGGTGGCTGACCAGTTTTCCCAGCACCGCTTGTTAAAGAGGTTGTCTTTTTTTCCACTGTATATCCTTGCCTCCTTTGTCGAAGATAAGGTGACCATAGGTTCGTGGATTTATCTCTGGGCTTTCTGTTCTGTTCCATTAATCTATATTTCTGTCTTTGTGCCAGTACCATACTGTCTTGATGACTGTGGCTTTGTGGTATAGTGTGAAGTCAGGCAGGTTGATTCCTCCAGTTCCATTCTTCTTTCTCAAGATTCCTTTGGCTATTCGAGGTGTTTTGCATTTCCATACAAATTGTGAAATTATTTGCTCTAGTTCTCTGAAAGCTGCCGTTGGTAGCTTGATAGGGATTGCATTGAATCTGTAGATTGCTTTGGGTACTATAGCCATTTTGACAATATTGAGAATCCCTGTTTTTCAACAACGGAATGAATCAAATCATTGAGTGCAGCAGCTCTGAGGTTACTGTTACAGCTCACATTAAGGCAAGATGGATCAAGGTAACTGTTGGTTTGTTTGTTTTTTTAGCCGTTGGTGAAAATCCAGTAGATGCTGTCTTAAATTTACTTAGAACTCTTGAAGGAAGACTTTTAAGGACCTCAGGAAGGTGCTGTGCTTGGCGAGCGGCGGGGCGAGGAGGGGGGCAGAGGTAGGGCGAAGGGGCGGGGCTGAGGCACTCGGGTGGACCGCGCTGGTGGCTCCGGTTGGGTTTGGGCCCCGGGCAGGTGCCGGGCAGGATGGGCGTTCAGGGCCCCGGCTGCGCTCCGCCTATGCCCGAGGGAGGCTCAGAGGACCGAGGGCCGCGGTCCGCGTCGGGCCCGAATCAGACACCTCCGGGGCCACGTGGCCCTGAGCCACGAACGGGAGTTGGCGGGGGGGGGGGGCGCCGACAGTGGGCGGGCCTGGAGAGGCCCAGGGCGGGAGGGCGCCGAGACCTCCGCGCCCCTCACCCCAACCCCAAGCCCAGGCATGCACGCCCGACCGGCCGCTCGGGGTCCCGGAAACACTCCGGGCCCCCGGGCCGGGCCAGGTTTGCTGGCCAGGGTTACTGGTGTGCGGGGACGGGGAGGCTTCGGCCGGGCTGCCGGCCCTGGCCGGCGCGCCCCGTGGAAAGGTGCGGCCGGCTGGCTCGACACGGCACATCAGAGTGAAAAGGAGCCGCAGCGCAGGGTTTTTAAAGGTGCCTGGCGGCAACCGCCTCCATCTAAGATCATACCACCCTGAACGGGCCAGATGTCTTCTGATCGGGGAAACTAAGCAGGGTTAGTTAGTACTTGGATGGGAGACCCCCTAGTAGTTAGGAGCTCCAGGCTTTTGCACAAAGTAGACGACAAGCCAACGCAGAGGTGATGAAAAGTTTATCGTGAAAAATCCAATTCAACCTGAATTCAAAGATGGTTTATGGCATAAAAGCAAGTGTTTTCCATTAGGTTCCCCCCCACCCCCCATTAACTTGCATAATGGTTGCCATTAGCATAATGCTTAGTTTTTATTCCTTCTTTCCTTGTCTATATCCATCTTTTTGCACCATCATGTGGTGCCTTATTGGCATAATTTTCCGCCTTTTGTCTTCCCATAATGTTGCTGGAGGAGACAGATGGACTCCAGGTTAGGCATTTACATCTAGCCTGTTTACATTTCTTGAGGCAAGAGATGGTTGGGCTCCAGTTGAGCCTTTACAGTCAGTGTCCTGCTTGCCCTGTGAAATGGAAGTAACAACAGAAAGAGGGTAAATAGCCAGTGTCTGTCTCTTATGAACACTTTAGTAGCCATGACAAGGGCAAAGAGGGACAAAACCCTGCTTGAGTCAAGGATGAAGAGATCTCCCCTCCCCCCACCCCCCTTGTGGGAGAAGGGAAACACAACACATGTGCAGAGAGGCTCCTTGTGGGTGAAAAGTCCCGCGAAAATGCCAGACCATGATGAGCCTTGCTTCTCCCAGAAGCCTCCACTTGGAGATCCATCTTGGCTGAGGGGTATGTGCACACCAGGGCAGAGGCCCAGGATAGGTCAGATGTGAAGAAAGGAACCAGAAACTTGGCAGGAAGGAAGACAAAGACCCAGAAGAACTGGCCTATATAAAGGACTTCACCACCTCGTGGTTATTGTGCTCCTTCTCACCAGGGGGCGCCCATAACCTTTCTCTCCAGGTGTGTGTCTCTGCTTGGCTTCTGTCGGAACTAGACCAGCTGTTCCTCCGTGTTCTTTCCCACGTGTTGCTGTGCTGTGTCTCTGATAATAAACGTCGTACCTGCATGTAGCGATTCTGCCTCCATGATGAATGCATTTTTCACTGGTCAAAGATCCAGGGAAACTTGGCTTCTAGCCTCTAGCCCTTGCTGGTCTGGTGGCTAGGATTCCTGGTTTTCGTTCAGGCTACCCAGGTTCAGTTCCTGGGCAGCGAATTAGATCTCACTTCACGCCACCACTCACTGCTGCCTCACTGAGATCAACTCAATTTTTATCACCATTTAATCTACATCATATGAATTTTTGCAACTTTTCGTAAAAGGACTTCTTAGGTATTAACATACTGATATTTCCATAAGGGGGAAGTACTTCTTCCCTAAAACTGCATTGAGAAGATTTGCACTTAAGAAAGTGTGTTTTACTGTAGCAGAATTATTATTTTGTCTTTACACTCTAGCATTTGTTAAATCCTTAACTGCCAAGAACTGTTCAGGCTTCCCTGGTGGCTCAGCTGGTGAGGAATCCACCTGCAGTGCAGGAGACCTGGGTTCGATCCCTGGGTTGCAAAGACCCCCTGGAGAAGGGAAACGGCTACCCACTCTAGTATTCTGGCCTGGGGAATTCCATGGACTGTACAGTCCATGCGTTTGCAGAGTCAGACATGACAGAGCGACTTTCACTGTTCACCAGCAACGGTTCGGCCTGAGATAAGAACTTCCAAAAATCTTTGAACACAGACGCTCTAACTTATTTTCCCTCTGGGATAAATATTTTGCATTTACTTTTAGGTCATATAGACACAATAGGCAGAGAACTCTCTTATTATGGATTTTATTTGCATGTAAATTAGCATCCTAGAAACTTTAAAATAGAAACACTAAATACAGTATTGCACAGAACAATCTCTGTTAAATGCCCCATTATCTCACTGAAGTTCCTATACGCATGCAGGGACTGAAGGAGACAGGAAGATGGCAGAAGAGCAACCCGAGAGCCACTACTGTGTCTGGGCACATCAACTACAGACTGCAAGGTAAGGACAGTATTTTATAGGAATAGAAACATAGTTACAATTCAGATTTCCTTTTTAAGTTGCCTCCTTAATTGGTTTGCAGTAGCAACAGATTCTCCCCTTTTTTCATAGCCATTCCCCAACACATATCATTTTTAAAAATCTATTAATGTTAGACAAAGCCATCACAGTGCTTCAGGAGTGACTTCAAGAAAACTCCAATCAAGTCACAGTACTCAGGCAGGTGGGTTTAATAGACAAGTCCTAGGTAGATATCAATCCATCTGAAAGTGGGCAGTAATGTTTGAACACATCTAGGATTTCCTTTTAAACACATGCTCCAAGGAAAACAGTACTGAATTGACCAGAGGAACAGTAAAAAGAGGACATCACTGGAAGGGAGTTTACACTGCCAGTCTGGCCCTGCGGTCTGGCGCTGGGGTAGCATCTGCTCGCTTGGCCCCTGTGTCCCTCAGGGAGGTCACGGGCTCAAGAGTGCAGAACAAGTATCATCACTAGGACTGCCCAGAGCTGCTGCGAACATCCAAAAAGTTTCACTTTAAGAGTTCTTTAGAGGGCTTCCCTGGCGATCCAGTGGCTGCTCCCAATGCAGGGGCCTGGGTTCAATCTCTGGTCAGTGAACTAGATCCCATTCACTGCAAGGAAGAGTTTGCACGCCACAATGAAAGATCCCATGTGTGGCAACCAAGACCTGGTGCAGCTTACAAAAGAGAAAAAAGGCACAAAATGTTCTTTAGAAAGTGCTATAAAATGCTATGAATGATTGCTTCTGCTAAGCAAATGGTAAGAAAATATGTGTATTAGTTGCTCAGCGGTGTCCGACTCTTTGTGACTCCATGGACTGTGGCCTTCCCAGTTCCTCTGTCCGTGGAATTCTCTAGGCAAGAATACTGGAAGAGGTGGCCATTCCCTTCTCCAGGCGATCTTCTCAACCCAGGCATGAAACCCAGGTCTCCTGCATTGCAGACAGATTCTTTACCACCTGAGCCACCAGGGAAGCCCAGGAAATACGTCGACCGGAATCCTCTTAATCAAGACAGGGGCCATTAGAGAGAAAATAACCTACTCGGTTAATTTAGTTTTATTATTGCCATTCTCCTTGGGAATTAAAAATAGGGTACTTCTGGAGAAACTGACAAAGCTGTGATTTATCTTAATAAAAGACTTCTTATGGAGATCTTGAAACCTGTTTCCGGAAAGAAATGAGTTCTAAATATATTTCTTAAGCCTGGTGGCAAAGTTTCTAGTGACAGAATTCATCTCCCATGCAGCTCAATGAATCCCTGTTTTTATTTTTTTTCATTTATTTTTATTAGTTGGAGGCTAATGACTTTACAAATTTTTTTGTCATACATTGACATGAATTAGCCATGGATTTACATGTATTCTCTATCCCGATCCCTTTGGCTCTTCCCAGTGCACCAGGTCCGAACACTTGTCTCCTGCATCCAACCTGGGCTGGTGATCTCTTTCACCGTAGATTATATACATGTTTCGATGCTGTTCTCTTGAAACAACCCTCCCGCGCCTTCTCCCACAGAGTCCAAAAGTCTGTTCTATACATCTCGTGTCTTTTTCTGTTTTGCATATAGGGTTATGGTTACCATCTTGCTCAATTCCATGTATATGTGTTAGTATCCTGTAATGGTCTTTATCTTTCTGGCTTACTTAAGTCTGTATAACGGGCTCCAGTTTCATCCATCTCTTTAGAACTGATTCAAATGAATTCTTTTTAATGGCTGAGTAAGATTCCATGGTGTATATGTACCACAGCTGCCTTATCCATTCGTCTGCTGACGGGCATCTAGGTTGCTTCCATGTCCTGCCTATTATAAACGGTGCTGCAATGAACATTGGGGTGCACGTGTCTCTTTCAGATCTGGTTTCCTCGTCGTGTATGCCCAGAAGTGGGATTGCTGGATCATAGGGCAGTTCTGTTTCCAGTTTTTAAAGAAATCTCCACACTGTTTTCCATAGCGGCTGTACTAGTTTGCATTCCCACCGACAGGGTAAGAGGGTTCCCTTTTCTCCACACCCTCTCCAGCATTTATTGCTTGTAGACTTTTTGGATAGCAGCCATCCTGACTGGCGTGTAGTGGTACCTCATTGTGGTTTTGATTTGCATTTCTCGGATAATGCGTGATGTTGAGCATCTTTTCATGTGTTTTAGTTTTATTAACGTATAAAGGAAATAGAGAAAGCTTCTGACATAAGCATCAGAAGGGGGCACAGAGAGTGTCCCACTGCTAGATCCTTGCTGTATGTTATGTAGTCACCAGCAGTCTGTTAATGAAGGAAAGGAATGTTTTAGAACTCAGAATGGCATCAGGCCCCTCATCCCTAAGATGTCTTTTAGGATAATCTTTCCACCAGAGGAGTCATCCTAGGTCATTAAATGATCGACTTGAATCTTGTAGAACGGCAGATTACCATACAAATAGTTTTGTTTACATAGATTATGGGAACAGTGTCTGAGTATATCATAATTGTTTGACAAGTAGGTTCTGAGCCATTAGGCAGAATCGACTTGAAGACAGGGTCTGGGGTAAGTGCATAGTACATTAACATAGCTTAAGGCAAACATTTCCATAAGAAAAATGTATTGGTTAACTCAAGGTTTGAGAATAGTTAACTTCAGGTGGAACCAGTTGTCATTATGGCAATACAGTATTTTAAGAGAAACCTAGTTTTAAATTTGTATAGAGAAAGGGGGGAAACTATTCAGTTTGTTTCCTCCTGCCGCTTAAGAGAGAGATAAAAATGTCTAACAGTGTCAGCCTATTTCCTCTGTTTGGAGACTCCTGGCCTTCCTGCATGTTACCCTCTCATCCCCCCTCCCTTTTCTTAGGAGAATCATGTTTCCTAGTGAAAGGGGGCATTGTTTTCATTTTGTAACTGCTTTTGTGTTGACAAGGGGTGTTTTCCCTT